GGTGGTGTGCGGGTCCTCGACCTGCCCCTCCCCCCCACTGATATGCTTGCCGCCCTTGGGCTGGCCATCAGGCGCCCCTCGCCTCCCTCCCCGCCCTTTGCGCCCGACCGCTCCCTGAGCCCGCCCTTTGCCGCCCGGGCGGTATTGCATGCTTTCATACAGTCCAGAGCTAGTGGGCACGGCTTGTGTGCCCCCAGCCCATTAAAGGGCCCGGTTCTCTGTAATCTCAGTCAGTCCGTCAGTCGGCCTCCGTCGTTGGCCGCGACGTTAAATAAGGAGCTGGATGAGTGCCGGTGGGTGATACCACAGGCACGAGTTCGAACCCCAGCCGGGACACTAGCTGGGACTTTGCCTCACGGCACCTTCGTGGCGGCATCTGGGCGGCGGACGGCTGCCCGGCAGACCGGCATGGCGCTTGCAAGACGGAGCCTCCCCGGGGTGCCATCGGCGGCCAGATTTTCCTCGCTCTGGACAGCCGGCAGGGTTAGCGGGTTCGGCCCCAGCACATTAATGTGCCCAATCCCTGTAAAACACACACACACACACGGCCTCCTAATCCCTGTAACACACACACACACACACGGCCTCGAACCCCAGCCGGGACACTAGCTGGGACTTTGCCTCACGGCACCTTCGTGGCGGCATCTGGGCGGCGGACGGCTGCCCGGCAGACCGGCATGGCGCTTGCAAGACGGAGCCTCCCCGGGATGCCATCGGCGGCCAGATTTTCCTCGCTCTGGACAGCCGGCAGGGTTAGCGGGTTCGGCCCCAGCACATTAATGTGCCCAATCCCTGTAAAACACACACACACACACACGGCCTCCCTCGTCGTTGGCCGCGACGTTAAATAAGGAGCTGGATGAGTGCCGGTGGGTGATACCACAGGCACGAGTTCGAACCCCAGCCGGGACACTAGCTGGGACTTTGCCTCACGGCACCTTCGTGGCGGCATCTGGGCGGCGGACGGCTGCCCGGCAGACCGGCATGGCGCTTGCAAGACGGAGCCTCCCCGGGATGCCATCGGCGGCCAGATTTTCCTCGCTCTGGACAGCCGGCAGGGTTAGTGGGTTCGGCCCCAGCACATTAATGTGCCCAATCCCTGTAACACACACACACACACACACACACACACACACACACACACACGGCCTCAGTTCCCTGTTCATCGTTCCTTGCTCGAGTCCCCCGGCGCGGCCGGGCCCCGCGCCCCCCTCCCGCCCCTCTAGGGCCCTTCTTGAGCAACACCCTGCCTTGGGGACGCAGGACGAGGGCGACCGCAGCATCGCCGGCTCGCTTGGCCCGCCAGCCGCCCATTCTGCAACTGCCCGCACTCGAGATGGCCTCCTGATGGTGCGTGGAGGGGTGCCCCGGGCCCTGCGGCGCCCGCGGCTCGGCTAGTCCGGCGAACACCCCCTCGGGCCGGTGCCGGCTCCCGGCCCGTTGTATGAGCCCCCGTGTGCCCCGTTGGTGCCCGGCCACCCCCTCTGCGACTTGTTCGCCCCCTACGACGCGTTTTGTGCGCGCCAGCCCCTCCCCCCAATTCCCGCTTCCGTGTGTCGCGGCCCCAAGCCCTGGTGCTTTCCCTTCAGCGAATTGAGACGTGGGGTGGCGTGGCTTGGCGGAGGAGCCTGTTGCCGCCGAGCGATTTGCGTTCGGGCAGGCCGCTGCTGCTGCTGCCGCCGCGTGCCGGGCGGCCCGCCGTCCCCCCCTCTTTTCGCTCACTCCGTGCCTG